GCGAGGGCAGCTTTCTCCCCGAGGTTTGCAGCGGTTGCTGGGACTCTGAGAGGCAGAGCCTCTGGGGACGGGGCTGAGGGCAGCCATAACTACTCCCTCCACCCACTCTGTTGATCCCGTGCGACCCGACCCGCCCAAACCCTTTGCAGAGCCATTTGCCAGATAGCCTCAGGCAAAGGCTAGATTAGCACCTCCCTAGAGGACAGAAGTTTTCCCACTGCAGACACAGCTGATTCTCACAGCCAGTTGGCCTGGAGGTCAAATCCCCCTAGTATTAACTACAACAATCAAGGCTTAACTACAACAAATTGTATAATTATAAAATTATTACTAATTTTCTTGAGGAGAAAGCATTAAATATTGCTGGCTGATGATCAGTGCTTAGCACAGTGCCATACACATAGGACATTGTCATCAATGTTGGTTCCTATTGTTATTACAGTAGTCCATCCTTACCTTCAGTTGCCTGCAGTCAATCACGACCCAAAAATATTAAATGAAAATTTTCATAAATAAACAATAAGTTTTAAATTGCACATCATTCTGAGACACATGATTAAATCTTATTCCATCCTGTTTCATCCAGCCTGGGACATGAATCATCCCTTTGTCCAGTGTATCCACACTGTAGTGCTACCCACTATTGATCCCTTAGTAGCTGACTTGGTTATCAGATCCACTGACATGGTATCACAGTGCTTTTGTTCAAGTAACACTTATTTTACCTAATAATAGATCCAAAGTGCAAGAGTAGTGGTGCTGGCAATTTAGATATGCCAAAGAGAAGTTGTAATGTGTTTCCTTTGAGTGAAAGTATGTGCATATAGGAGAAAAACAACACATATAGGGTTTGACACTATTTGCAGTTTCAGGCATGCCCTGGGGGATCTAGGAACATATCCCTCATGGATAATGGGAGATTACTATGTTCAATATTATGGCCTCCTCTGGGGAAATGTCAAGGGCGGGGCGGGGAAAGGAGACATATGTAACACTCTTTGTAATACTTTAAGCAATAAAACAAAATAAAAAAAAGAGATCAACCAAAGGACTTGTATGCATGCATATGAGCATAACCAATGGACACAGACAGTGGGGGAGCGGGGGGGGTGAGGGCATGTGCTGAGGGGTGGGAGCGACCAGGGAGAGGTCAATGGTGGGGGAGGAGGGAAAAAAGGCTCATGTAATACTTTAAACAATAAAGAATTTAAATTAAAAAAGACACACCAGTTTTCCTCCGGCACCAGGGTCCCAGGCCTTTGCTCCGGCCGGAGCCACCTTCAAGCCTTTGCTGCTCCAGCTGGAGCCGCCTTCAGTCTTTGCTCTGCTGCTTCGCGCCTACGTATGCAAATTAACCGCCATCTTTGTTGGCGCTTAATTTGCATATCATGCTGATTAGGCAATGGGAGGCGTAGGGAAGGTATGGTCAATTACCATGTTTGTTTATTATTAGACAGGATAATAAAGAGTCAATATGCTAATTAACTGGTCGGTGGAACGACCTTCCAGAACGACCAGTGGGTGGGGCTGTGAGGCAGCTGGGCCCTCGAGGCAGCCGGGGCAGTGAGGGCCAAGCCCCTTGCACTTTCGTGCATCAGGCCTTTAGTGTTTGTGTAATAATGTGAATACTCTTAATAGCATCAACAGTACATTTAAAAGTGATTAAGATGGTGAATTTTTATTATCGCAATAAAAAAGAAACACTGCCTGTATATATTATTTATCTGTATTTTTTTGGATGAGAAGACAGAGGTTCAGAGAAGTGCAGTGACTTTTCCAGCATCACCCAGCAAGGAAGTAATAGAGCCAAGATTTGAATAAGAGGGGGATTTGATTCCAAAGTCCCTATTTTCCCTTTGCATTCAACACACTCCCCTTAAATGCTGTAAGAGATATGTCAGGATTTGTTACACACACACACACACGCACACACACTGTGTACATTCAGTCCTGCATGCCCCCAAACTCACCTTTCATTCCAGGGTGCTCAGGTGGTCCTACTGCTATTGATCTGTCTTTTTAAAAGGGCATGCCTCTGGGTGTTTGTAATCTCCACCAGCAGCTCCCCTGTGGCTAGAGATTCTGGCTGCGATCCCCTTGTCTCCTGAGTTTTTAATAAACTATTTCCCTCCAAGACATCTTTTGGGGGAAAAATATTTCCAGCCATCTAACCTCTTCCCTGTCAGTCAGGCAGGCAGAGCTGGTCAGAGCTAGCCATGACTCACTTTAATCTGGGCTAGATCCTCTCACTGTGACTCTTAAATCAAGACTTCTCATGTGGGTTGACAAGGAGCCCCTTCAGCAAGCTTCCAAGTTGTGGTTTCACCTCTTCCTTTCTCTATTAACCTGAGTGATGTCAAAATTTGGTTCTAGGGGTCCCTCTGGTGATGCTAAGTGACCAGAGGAAAGGCATCAGCATTACTCACCTTCTTGTAGACAATAAAACTTTAAATCTTTCTACTATGACCAGGCATGATCTGGACCCTTGGTCACCTAATTAAGCAAATAGCAATTTGCCGGACACTGTCATTGACTGTTTATTTAATGCTCACATCCGATTATCCCCACTCAGAAATCCACAGCAGAGCTTGCTCAATAAACTGTGTGGAATGAAGACATCCTGCAAGGAAACAATATTTTTGTTGTAACTAATGTTATTGACAAAGGGACTGAGAGAGGGTAAGTGACTAATCTAAAGTCACACATCTGCTAAGAGGGCAGGCTATAGTTCAAAGCCCTAATCTGATTCCAAATCTTGAGCATCCTCAACTCTGAATGTTGCATGTTTCTTGAAGTTAATGATCAGCTCTAGGAGTTCAGAACTGAGAACCACTCTGGGGGTAGAAGTGAGGGGAGGATGGCCTGTCCTCAGAAGGTGAGCTGGGGAAGACCCCAAACCATTCCAGATACGTTGTTTTTGTCAGGTGCCCATGCTCAACTGCTTCCAACAGCTTTTATGGACAGTCAGCATGAGTTGACCTTCAACATATCAACATAGATGACTTCTTGCTGTCTAGAGGCCTGACTTTCTTGGGTTTATAGCAATGAAGACAGGTATGGAAAGAATAAGCATTCAGCATAACAAGACATCCATTTGTAAGTTGGCAAATATCAAAGAAGCAGACAAAAGTCCATCTTTCTATCTACCTGTATACACCCAACCCATCATGTCTGTGGAAAACAGCATCAGCAATCCTTCCACTAAGGTCTAATGTCTAAATCATGCCTGGACTCCCAAGATTCCCACAAGCTAGATTTCAAATTCTCACCCTCCCACTCACCAGAGTCTGTGTGCAGAGTGAGGGACCTTTCTCAACACCCTATGAGCATGTCAACCACCCTCATTCCCAGATAGACTCTAATCAAACCTCCCTGGATTCTATCCTTATGGACTTAACCAGTGCTGCCTTTGTCTATGCAGAGATAGATGTCATTATCTGGAGACAGAGGCTCCAGGGAGAGCTGTTGCATCAGAAACCCCTCTGGGTCTTATTTCTGCTAGAGAGAAAATTAGTTATAGTGGAACCCTAAAGCCCTTGGTAGTTTATTGTCCCTGGAAGACTGTGGAAAAACATGTACTCATTCTCAACCACAGGAATAATGGGAAGCTTTGATGTGGATAACTTAATGTGACAGATGTCCAAGTCTTTCCATTTAGATATCAAGAGGAAGAGATGTGGGAATCCATGATAGCAAATGCATCCTATGCCTCACCCCTCCCCACCAGTTCTGATGTCCAGGAGACTTATTCTGAGTTAAATAATGAGACAGTGATGGTGGTGGGAGAACAGGGGCAGCTTCCCTGGGTCAGGACATTTCTTCTTTTGTAAAAAAAAATATATTTTTATTGATTTCAGAGAGGGCGGGAGAGAGAGAGAGAGAAACATCAATGATGAGAGAGAATCATTGATCGACTGTCTCCTGCATGTCCCCTTCTGGGGATTGAGCCTGCAACCCAGGCATGTGCCCTTGACTGGAATTGAACTTGGGACCTTTCAGTCTGCAGGCCGACGCTCTATCCACTGAGCCAAACTGGCTAGGGCAGGTCATTTCTTCTTGAAACTCCATTCTTTTTAAAAAAATATATTTTATTGATTTTTACAGAGAGGAAGGGAGAGAGATAGAGAGTCAGAAACATCAATGAGAAACATCGATCAGCCGCCTCCTGCACACCTCCTCCTGGGGATGTGCCCGCAACCCAGGTACATGCCCTTGACCGGAATCGAACCCGGGACCTTTCACTCTGCAGGCTGACGCTCTATCCACTGAGCCAAACCGGTTTCGGCTAAACTCCATTCTTGAGGGGCCTCCAAAACTCCGGAGATGATGCAATGGTCTAGAGATAAATTATTCTAGTGCCGTGAGTTTATTGTGTATTCATGGCCAGCGCTGAGACCAGAGAGCCAGACTACCCTGAACAGTGGTAGCCCACTGCAGAAAGTCACAGGCAAGGTCAAGGTAGAGTGAGTTACCAATAGTGATGTTCAGGCCAAAGCTGAGTAAGATAGATGGCAATAAGGTGGAACCAGGGTGGAAGCAATAATAAAAGTGACATATGTGAAGGACCTGACCCATAATAAGTAATGATCAGCAAATTCCTCATACCATGCCACCACTCTCTAGTTCCAAGCCCATGTCAGAAATTACTAATCAACCTCCTTGCTTTCTACTTCTGAGCTTGGATAGAACTTCTCAAATCAGCGCACCACACAATCTAGACCTTATAGATTGGTTTTGACATTTGTCATGAAATCTACTTTGCAAGAAGACTCTAGACCAGTGGTTGGCAAACTCATTAGTCAACAGAGCCAAATATCAACAGTACAACGATTAAAATTTCTTTTGAGAGCCAAATTTTTTAAACTTAAACTATATAGGTATGTACATTGTTATTAACTTAATTAGGGTACTCCTAAGGCTTAGGAAGAGTCACACTCAAGGGGCCAAAGAGCTGCATGTGGCTCACGAGCTCCAGTTTGCCGACCACTGCTCTAGACCAGTACTCAGCACTGGTGACAGTCTGCAGGGAGAGCAGGAGCTTGCACCAGAAAGTTACACAACACACTGCTTCCTTTATTGATAAAATCTTGTTATGGAATAGATGTCAGTAAAACTAAAGCTTAGTGATGTTGTTGATTTACAGGGTATCCCAAGGTTCTTTTTTCCTCAAGGGTCAAAACCAGTTCATGCACCACATTTTGAGTAACACTGCCATGGACTATGAGCGCCCTGATGGCAAGGAACCTGCTATATTCATTTTTGTGTAACTGATAGCCAAGGCACATGGACAAAGCAATGTTTATTGCACAGGAAAAGCTGCAGCAGGCAGAAATTTGGAAAGAAAAATTAAGATATGGAGAAGTGGGCCGTGGTGATTCTCACACCTGGCATGTTGACTTGCTTCAAAGATGGATGGGTGAATGGATAAATGGATGGATGAACAGATGGACAAGCTATGATTAAAGTTATTTGTAACTGAGTCATGTTGTCCTAAAGAACAGGGTAAGAGAAAAAGATGATAAAGAAATTGTTAGTACTCTAGATATTTGCCTCGATTATTAATTCTTTGCATACACCTTCATATTTTTGCCATTTTCATATACTACCCACACTAACATTTTCTTAATTCAGGGACCTACTGCCTAATATCAGTTATTCCTAAAAAGCAGATGCACATGAAACTGTCCATTTTGACCCTATAGTCCATTATTTTAAATGGGAAAGATTGTATTATAACTCTTCACCAATTTCCTGAAATATAGCTAAAACCAATTAAAGATTTATGTGTCAGTAATAAAATACCATGTTAGGATATAAAATACTTAAAACATTGCTTCCTTTTGACTGCAAAATAAACATAGTTGTTAATAGGCGTTTGGTAAGAAGTCATATTTTTACTCCATTGCTTACATTTCCAAGATTTTCTTTTTATTCCCTCAACTTTTGGAGGACTGACTCATTGTATAGAATAACCTTTTCTTTTGGCAAAATGTAGAAGGTCCTGGGGAAACAAGTTCAGGACAAGCACACAATAAGAAGGAATGACTGACACTGAGTGTGATGTTATGATGACCTCTCTTAGCACCAGCAATATCTGAGATACACACTTTCCTTTGTTTTCACTTGGGGCACTTTTTCTATACATTGTTTTATTTGAAATTATGTATTTAGCTCAAGATATAAACTTTTCCTGTGTAATCATGGGCCAGAAAATATTATATTGAGAGATACTCACATTTTGAAAAGTTTAGACATTATCACCAAAAAAACACACAAAACAAAACAAAAAACTTTATTCTACTGAGAAAAGTTTAACCAGGGAGATAGTCTGTGGAATATATCCATATATTCCTTCCTTCCTTCCTTCCTTCCTTCCTTCCTTCCTTCCTTCCTTCCTTCCTTCCTTCCTTCCTTATTGAGGTAGCATTTGTTAACAGCATTATATGTCATAATGTTACCATTATATATAATTCGATATAACTTAGCAATTTTTCTTCTGAGTATCTATCTGAAGAGTATAAAAAACAAATTAAAAAAGATATGTATACCCCTATGTTCATTGCAGTACTAATTATAATAGTCAAGATATGTAAACAACCTATGTGTCCATTGATGGATGAATTAATAAAGAAGATGTGGTACATATATGCAATGGAATACTATTCAGTCATAGAAAAGATTAAATATTGCCATTTGCAACATCAATCCTGAGAGTATTAGGACATAAGTGAAATAAGTCAGACAGAAAAGGACAAAAATCATATAATTTTACCTGTTTTTCTTTAATCACTCACCTTTAGTTTTCTTAGAATTGACTTAATTTTCTCTTTTCTGCTGTCGTTCCATCATCTTTTACCTGGGGAAGAGATAAAACTAAAATGATGGAAATGGCTAATAAATAAGTAAATAAATAAATATTCAAGTCTTTTCTCATTTTTTTTTCCTGGAAAATTTAAAGGAACATTTATGTACCTTCAACCAATTATTCTTTTGTCACATTGTTTTATCTCTTTATACACACATAAGCACATGAACACACTTTCACTTAATATCAAATTTACAAACTTATGTAATATATAAAATTCACATAACATAAATTAAATAATTTAAAAGTGTATGATTCAGTGGCATTTACTACATTTGCTATATGCACTCATCCCCTCTTT